CCCAGGACAGTCCTTCCCAGGCAGGGGCCAGGGCCACATTCCTGGACCCTGGGCCCAGCTTCCTCCTGTTCTCCGTGGGGGTGATACCACCTGTTCTCAGAGGAGCAGTGAGGATCCGATGAGGATCCAGGTGACTGTGCTGACACAGCGATGGCCCAGCCCAGGCTCCACTGGGTGAATTTCCCTGCAGGTAAGAGGAACAGGGAGTGGGATCCCAGTGAAGACTGGTGTCAGGGGAGCAATGTTCCTGGAGGTCAAGGCACAGTGCACCTCCCTGTTGCCTGTACATATGTAACATACATGCAGAACACTGAGAAAGGGGCTCAACAGAGCAGGAGAGGCACTGGCATCGCCCTGGAGCCCTTCACCCCTGACATCACTGCAAGATGCAGCAGGTGGAGGTGATTCGTGTTTTTCTCCAGCTGGGGAAGTGTGCGGTGCCCTTGCTGTTGTGTGTGGGGTGCTTGGACCCAGAACAGGGTGAGGAGAGTCATTTCTGTTAGTCTGAGAAGAGGACACATGTGCATCTAGGAAGTACTCAATCTAGAACCTCTTGACCTGAGACTTTATCCCCAGGGTTCAGGGTCCCTGTTAGCCATTCATCTTCCTCATCCTTCAGCCTGACCTACTGGTCCAAAAATATAGTCCCCGGACCCCAGCTATTCTGTGTCCTGAGAATTTGACACTGGGATTCCTGGTGCTGGGACCTAAGCCACCTGCTGGCGGGGCCTCAGGGGACAGACCGTGAGCTCCTGCAGGGGGACCTGTCCTGCTTCCTGTCCTTCCTGAACTGGGTGAGTTTGGGGGCTTCTTTCCTTTCTCTGACCTGTCCTCCTTCCCACAGCACCTCTTCTGTGTCACTTAGTCAGACTCAGTCTCTTGCTCAGAATCACAGGGCTCTCACCTGACACAGGGTTCACCATGGAATTGTATCAACCACACACTGAGCTAAGTGGAGTCCAGCTCTGAGGGTTCAGGGAGACATGGGGGTGGACACCGAATGGTTCTGTACCCAGCGCCTGAATCCCTGCCCAGTAGTCTGTGCAGGATGGGAATTCTCCAGGAACTGAGGAAGAACTGATGAAGGAATGAACTCCTATTTCTGAAGGTCAGGCAGGCGATGGCCATGACTGCTGATGGTTCGATCCCTGAGTCGATCCTTCTCCAGATCGCCTGGAGAAGGAACTGGCAACCCACTCCAGTATTCTTGACTGGAAAATCCCAAGGATGGGAGAGGCCAGCAGGCTACAGTCCATAGGGTCGCAAAGAATCAGACATGACTGAGCAACTTCACTTTGCTTTTTTTTTTTCTGACATCTTCAGGAAGGAATGGAAGGGCCAGCTGAAGTCTCAGGGAAACACTGGCTGAGAGGGAGTCAGAGTCTGAGGCACTGAGGAAAGTCTTCTGAGGGAGGTTTGGACAAAATTGTGCAGAAGGCTCTGCAGCACATGGGGAGGGACTTAGGAGACGTCCTGGTATCATTTCCAGGTCCCAGGTCTCTGGCTTCCTGCCCTGGGCTCCAGGTATTGGAGCCTGTTAGGTGCTCACATGCTCCACATGGAAACACAGAGAGTCGGTGCCCCATGAAGCAGGCCCGTGGGGGTGAAAGCAACACCCAGATGCTCCCCCCTTCTCCCTGCAGAGGAGGAGCCGGAGGCATCCCATGAAGGCTCCTCAGAAGGTCCAGGCAGGTGCAATCCCAGATGGGTGACCAGGTCAGAACATGGCCTTGGATGGACTTTCCCTCCATCCCTGCTCCCATCCCCCAGCCCCTCAGTCCTGCTCCTGGGGATTGAGTGAGCCTGGCCTTCAGCTCTGCCCTCAGGGGACCCCAGGCTCCTGCATGCTGCTTTGGTCTGTAATTAGGCTTCCGCATCTGTGCTCAGAGTCACGGGTAGCCGTGGAGGAGGTGAACGCAGTTGCCGTTAAGGTCGATATTCTTATGGGTCATTCTAGGCAGTGCGGGAAATAGACGGGTCGGGCAGGGCAGTGCCCCAAGGTAAACACAGGAAGACCGTTCTGGAAGCTCCTGCAGGAGTCCCGGTGTGAGGCAGCCTGGGTGCTATCTCTCTCTGTCCCTCTGTTTATGGCTGACCCTCTCTCACAGCTGCACACAAGCCTTCTGCTCTCAGTCACCCTTGGGTGTCCACCCTGGTCCCCAGGTCTGGAGGAGGATTATCCCCGTGCTCAGCCCAAGTCAGATCACACGGGCTCCCCTGGGCGTCCCTCGGGGCCTGCGGGGCCCCAGGGTCTGAGGGAAATGATTGGATGGGAGGTCAGTGGGCGGGCAGGAGGAGCCATGGAGGGCATGCTCCCTGAGATCCTGGGAGACAGGCTCACGGGGAAGGAGGTCAGGCATCCGGAGCCCAGGTGAACCCATCAGTCAACACAAGGAAGCCTCAGTGAATCAGCTCATATTTATTGAAGCAGAGTCTAGAGAACACAAGGTGGAGAGAAGCAGAGCAACCTGAAATATCTTCTCCAGCCTCACTCCCAACTGAAGAAGACAGCGAGGGTCAGAGAGTCGTGTCTGTTGGCCCCAGGCTGTTTCATCTCCTCACACACCGCAAAGTTCCTTGGCCTGTTTCTGCCTCCTTGTTTCATCCTTCTGTCTTTCTTTCTTTTTTTAATCAACCTCTGGTCCTACTCCACACTTGGACTTTCATGGAGACGTCCCCAGTCTCTCAGTCACTCTGGACCCAAGAGCACCTGGCGACTTGTCACCTGTTCCCCCCACGGTGCTGTCACCAGTGCTGTCACCAGCGCCAGACCATCATTGTCATCAAGAGTCACTGCCTGAAGATCTACATAGACAATTCTCCATGAAGACATACAGATGGCCACAGGTACATGAAAACATACTCAACATCACTAATTATTAGAGAAATGCAAGTCAAACTACAATAAGTTATCTCCCCTACAGCATCAGAGGGGCCATCATCTACGTCTACAATGCTCTGAGGCTGTGGAGAAAAGGGAACCCTGCTCCACTGTTGGTGGGAATGTAAATTGGTATAGCCACTATAGAAGACTATTTGGAGTTTTCTTAAACAAATAAAAATAGAGCTACCGTGTGATTTAGCAATCCCGCTTCTGTGCATATATCTAGAAAAAAATTAAGCTCTAATTTGAAAAGATACATGTACCCTGATGTCCATAGCAGTACTATTCATAACGGCCAAGACATTATATTAACCTAAATGTCTGTTGACAGATTAATGAATAAAGCAAATGTGGTACATGTATACATACCATGGAATATTACTCAGCCATAAACGAGAATGAAATAGTATTATCTGGAACAATATGTATGGATCTAGAGATTACTATACTGAGTGAAGTAAGTCAGGTAAAGATAAATATGTGACATTAATTTATATGTGGAATCCAGAAAATAGTACAAAAAACTTACTTACAGAATAGAAGCAGACTCATACACATAGAAAATGAGTAGTTTACCAAAGTTTTGGGGAAACAGATAAATTAGGAGATGGGATTAACAGATCCACACCAGATAAACAAGGGCCTGTCTACTGTAGTAGCATGGGAACAGTATTCCATATCTTGTAATAAACTATAATGGAAATGAATAAAAAAGAATATAGATATACACATGCTCAGATGTTCTGTCGTGTCTGACTCTCTGCAACCCAATGGACTGTAGCATGCCAGGCTCCACTGTCTATGGGATTTCCCAGACAAGAATATTGAAGTGGGGTGTCATTTCCTCCTCCAGGGAATCTTCCTACCCAGGAATGAAACCTGTGTCTCCTGCTTAGCAGACACATTCTTTATCACTAGCGCCACCTGGGAAGCCCAGATAAATACATAGATTACCTGTATAATGAATCACTTTGCTGTATACCTGAAATTAACAGAATATTGTAAATCAATTATCCTTCAATAAAACAAACGGAAGAAGTCACTGCCTTAGTAAGATACATCAGCTGGGGCCACAGGTGAGTTGACGTGGAGGAGAGGTCCAGAGACCACCAGCAGGGGAGATGCTTCTTGCTGGGACATCACAGCCTGGGGAGGGCGATAGAGGAGCCCCTGCTACTTCTGGATCCCAACCATCCTAACTCTCTGACTTTCTCCCATTTTCACCCCGTTTGTATACCAGGCCTCTCATTGCTAGTTCGCCTGCCTCTCCCTTTATTCTGCCTCCAGGGTCATCTTTAGTCCAAAGGAAGTGGTTTCTGGCAGGAGTGGAGTTAGGGGGAAATGGATGCATGTGTGTGTATGGCTGAGTCACTTTGCAGTTCACCTGAAACTATCACAACACTGTTAATCAGCTGTACTCCAACACAACGTAAAAATTTCATAGTATGAAAAAAAGTGGCTTCTCCCCGCCTCTCATTCTCCAGTGCCCCCTCCTCCCTTAATCCAGGCTCCAGGCCCCTTCCTTCTCTCTCCTCATCCATCACCTACATCCATCCCTGCACTGGTGTGCTCAACCACCGAAATGCCAAATTCTTAACACCCAGCTTCATTAATGTGATCTCCCTCTTTCCCCCTAACAAGGTACCTCTGCACATTAGCCCCTCACGTGTCCCTGGACCCCACACTGCTCTGGGGGTGGCTAAATCAGGTCCTCCTGCAGATTCTCATAGATCTGGGTGAGCTCCTCCAACTTCCTCTCCAACTCCCATGCCCGCTGCCTCAGGCTTTCAGCTGCTACTGTCTTGGCACCATTGTGCGAGTGCTTTGACTCCTTCACCAGCAAGCCCACATCCACCAGAAGGAAGATCCCTGCAGTGGCCAAGCCCGCAATCCGGGCTCCTTTGGTTATTGTTAAAGCTGTGGCTTTGAAACCTCCCTCTATGTGCTGAATGGCTGGGACTGAGATCCTCCCAGGGCTCATGTAGATGTGTGCATTGGGTGCAGACTCAGGGTTGGCATTACCTGTCTCCATGTCATGGATGTTCATTTCAACGCATCACACAGCTTCTGTGACTTTCTCTGTTGTGTCAACAATGTGGGGGTTGCTCTTGAGTACCTCTAAGAGAACCTTCCATTTCTTGACGACACTTGACATCATGTGACTGGCTTCGGTTTCTGCTGATGACTTCTTCACATGTTCGATGATACTGGTGGACACATGGGTCACAGCAGCTGCTGCTCCCAGCCCTATCCCAGTGGCCAAGAGCACCACACTGGCCCCCGCTGTCACGGGTGCCAGAGCCAGGCCAACAATGGTCAGAATACTAGACACAGCACCGGTGCTGTAGCCCACCACGTTGGAGATGGTATATCCCTTATGTACCTTGTCAACCTTGTCTGCGAGCTCGTGGAACTTGCCTATGAACTCCTCCAGCTGCCATTTCACCCGAGGAAACTTAATCAGAAACCTCCTCCTCTCCAGCTGCTCTTTGGGGACTCTTTCCTGGTCCTCCTCAACCAAGGCTCTGTTCAATTCCTTCAGATATTTGTGTAGTTCCTTGGCATCTTTCCTGTAATAATGAAGGTCAAGGGATTAGAAAGGCAGTTTGCTTGCCTATAAAACTGGCTCCATAATATCTATTCTGCATAAATACAGATATGTTACTATCAATTAGAGAAGAATTTTATAAATGTAAATTTTTCTCTTTCAACCTTAAAACTTCATACTATATAGATGCTCCATCTTGACACAGCTAAACTTGGAATAGGTAAACAAAAGTCACCTTAGGACACTGGCAACTTAAGAGAGGTATTTGAGAGAAATCCCAGATGGTCCAGAGGTTACAACAATGCACTCACACTGCCGGCCTTGACTCAATCCCTGGTTGGGGAATGCGGATCCCACAGGCCATATGGCTCAGCCAGAGAAAAGGTATGTGGTGAAGACGTCTCACAGGTGGGTCAACACCATCACTTTGAAAGAGTCTTTGGAGTGGGAACTCCACAGATACACAAAGACAAGTAGGACTGCAGGAGAAAACCTTCATTCGAGGGCCTTGGTGTGTAGTGAGAAGTCTCCCTGCTCTTTGCCCTTGGCTACTGGGAAGTGGGCCCTGAGCCCCTAGAATTCCGGCTGATAGGCGTGTCCTTGCCTGCCTGGGCCTTTGGCCACTGGTCAGTCTGACAAGGTGACCACTGACCCAGGGTCTCTGGGTCTCATGGTGTCAGTTCTGCCATCTGGTAGAGCTGGACACTAGGGCACAAGTCTGACTTCCAGGAGGGGCTGGAGATGACAGGTCAGGGCAATTTGGCTTTTAAGCAAGGTGAGTGTCCCTAATGGGCAGTACTGCATGCATCTTGTCACACACTGAATCCAGGTCAGTAACGTGTCCTGAGGACAATGGAAGCTTTGTCTGTGAAACCTGCCCAGACTCTGACCTCTGACTGATGGGCACTTTTCTCCTTCCCTGTAGTAAACTGTAGCTGGGATCATGAAGTTTTCAGTGAGTCCTGTCCATTCTATAGGGAATTCTTGAACCTGAGAGTTGTTTTGGGGATCCCCTAAATTTGCCATTGAAGTCAAAGTAAGGGCAGTCCTGGGCACTGTGCCCTTACACTTTGCAGATTGGCTGTCTCTATGACTTAGAATTTTTTAAACCCCAAAAGTCAGAGCTAGAAGGCAGCTTATAATCATTTGGTCTGCCATCTGCTGTCTTCTAAGCATTGTGCCCTTGACCTTCTCAGCAGAATGTCACTGGGTCTACGCACTGCCCCAACTTACAGGGAAGCAGGAGATGTGCCCTGGTTTCCTTTGGACTCTCCAGCTCACCTCTGCTGTCCATGCTCTGTGTGTGCTCTCCCGGCCTCCGTTCTGAGTCACTTGCTGGGTGGTGGGAGAGGCAGGAAGTCACCACCTTGCTCATGGATCCTGAGAAGAGGGCTAGGAAGGAGTCTGTGGGCAGACCCCTGGATGAGGGGAATCTCCTGGTCTCTCTTGGAAGCTCAGGATGCTTATCCATCCTCTTTATGGTTCTTGATTCCTCTGGAGTTTAACTCAGCCTGGAAACACCACCCTCAATTCTGGGGCACCAGTAGGAACCTTCCAGAGAAGAGGCAGCTGACTACCTGAGCAGTGTCCAAAGTTTTCTGAACTCATGTTGGCAACAGGGGCTCTCAGAGACCTCCCTTCAGCTCCATGTCTGCGTCAGGCTGGAAGGAGGTGTGACCTCACCCCTGGGGAAGAGAAATAGACTGTGAACTCCACTGTGAGGGCGCAGTGGCTTCAGGGAGCAGTGAGGGCCAAGTTCTCTGGTGGGTTCCCCTTGGACAGCCACCAGGTCCTCCAGGGACTTAGCCCAGTGTGGGTCTCTGTCTCCTGCGCTCTGCTGGATGTTAGTTCAGCAAAGTCATTCACCTCCTACAGCTCCTTCCAAGCCAAGTCAGAGTCCTGCTCTCCTGTTGGGGCAAAAGGAGAAGATACTCAGACAGGAGACAGCCATCTGTGAAGTTATAGGAACAATCAAACCAGAGACTAGAGGAACAGATAGGAGGTGATACTCTAGAAATGATGTGAGGTTGGGACACCTGTGTTTTCAAATTGGTAATGACTAATATTAATGATAATATTGATCCAGTGTCCTTGACATTCAGGCTCCTGAAATTCACATAAACTTAGTTCAGTCCAAGTTTTCACGCTGGTGCCAGAGTCTAGACTGGAACCTGAGTCTTTGTGATGCAAATCACACATTTGTGATGACTATGCTCTACTCCCTATTATATACAAAAATATGTATTTGTGGATATGTGTTAATTGGTAAATGACTCTTTTCGTTCCAAAATGATGCGCTCTCTGTGCTCAAGTCTCTCCTTGAAAAAGTTCCTGGTGATACAGCTCCCACAGTCCAGGTCCTCCTGGCTTCTACAAGAGCCTTTTCTCCCACAAGGGCCTGGAGTCCCACCAGCCCTGCCCCAATTCCTGTCTCCCTTCTCTGAGAGGCTGAGAACACCTGCAGGTGTTCTGTCCTCCTTGTTTTCCCCTCCTGATTATTGGACTTGATGTAGTTTCTAATCCTTTATGTAAATAATAGTGCAAAGAATATTCTCCTTGTATAAAACTTCACCTACATCTGAGACTGTATCCTTAAGTTATATCTAGAAGTAGAATTAAGATCCGAAGGCATCAACACCTAAAAAATTTCCATACCTAGAGCCACAATGCTATGCAAACAAACTGTAGCAATTTATGTTCAAACTTATAATATATGAGGTTGTCTATCCTTTCAGATATACCCATTCTCCTTAGTCTTTCTTTAAAAAAAAGATCATATGTTTATCATTAAATAATTTATTTTGGTTCTGCATGTGATTATATTGCCTTGGGAGATGAGGAAGGAAAGCAAGTGTTGATGATGTGTAGCTACTATTTTTAAGAAAGCAAAAGAGCATCTGTCAACTACTCCTCCTGAGACTTGACTGAAATGATGGTAAAGGTATATATTGGTATAATACCATCTACTGATAAGAGTGCGTGGTTTCCGTAGTATAGTGGTTATCACGTTCACCTAACACACAAAAGTCTCTGGTTCAAAATCGAGTGGAAACAGCTTCACTTGGGCTTCCCTTGTGGCTCAGTGGGTAAAGAATCCACCTGCAATTCAGGAGATGTGGGTTCGATCCCTGGGTTGGGAAGATCCCCTGGAGAAGGGAACGGCTACCCACTCCCGTATTCTGGACTGGAGAGTTCCATGGACTGTGTAATCCAAGAGATCACAAAGAGTTGGACATGACTGAGCAACTTTCACTTTCACTGATAACAGCACCTTGTGTTTGTGATCGTTGCTCTGTATTGGTATCGGCTCTGAAACTTTACCAATGGTACCTCATATGTTATTCCATTAGCTTTTGAGATGTGTACCATTGTATCCTCATTTACAAATAAGGAAGCTGACACATAGGTGTTACCTGACTTACCTAAGTTCAGAAGTCTTGCCCTTGGTACCCTGGTTCCACCCCACTCACTGGGTCAAGAACCATAGCCTGCCTCTCCTCCCTCTGCTGCTAATAAAAGCAAGCAACAGGGGGCAATAGGAGACCAGAGTCCTTAACAAATATCTGAAGACTCACTGGATGGGGAAGTGATGGCTGAGTAAAGAGGAGTGCAGGAGAGGGAGAGAAACAAGGAGCGTGTTCACAGGAGAGAAGAATGGTCTGCTGGGCAGAGCCCAGAGAGGGGGCAAGATGAGAGGGAGGCCGAGGGGAGAGCAGGGGACAAGCTCACCAACCCCACATCCCATCCCATATTCACAGCAGCCTTCACTCTTCGCCAGACATTTAGAAGGTTACTTGAGAATGAGATGCAGGAAAAAACATAGATTACTTGTTTGTTTAATTATGGAGGAAGGTAAAGGATACCCACGAGAGAGACAGACGTGGGATCCAGGAATCAGGAACATCAACCCAGTGGGAAGGGAATCCAAGGATCCCAGCTGGGCGCGCAGCAGACCTAGAGAGAAACCAGTCCAGAATGGGATAAGAAGTCCAGAGTCTGTGGGGACAGGAGACTCGGTATCACATGAGGCACAGTTGGAAAGAAATGGAGGAAATGTTGAAGAGAAACAGTGCAAGGGGTGAAAATGAAGCCAGTTAGAAACATCAGGAAAAACTAAAGCGCAGGAGGAGAAGGGGATGACAGAGGATGAGATGGTTTGATGGCATCACCAACTCAATGGACATGAGTTTGGGTAGCTCAAGGAGTTGGTGATGGACAGGGATTCCTAGTGTGCTGCAGTTTATGGGGTTGCTAAGAGTCAGACACGACTGAGTGACTAATCTGAACTGAACGGAATAGCTGAGAAGCATGTGCAGCTATATGGTACAAGTTAGCTCTTAAAAAATGTATTAAGTGCTCACTTTGGCAGCACATATACTAAAATCGGAATGATACAGAGAAGATTAGCATGGCCCCTGTGCAAGGATGACACGCAAATTCATGAAGTGTTCCATATTTTTTACACCAATACAGTATACTAACTCATATATATGGACTTTAGAAAGATGGTAATGATAACCCTATATGCAAGACAGAAAAAGAGACACAGATGTATAGAACAGACTTTTAGACTCTGTGGGAGAAGGTGGCGGTGGGATGTTCTGAGAGAATAGCATTGAAACATGTACATTATCAAGTGTGAAACAGATCACCAGTCCAGGTTGGATGCATGAGACAAGGGCTCAGGGCTGGTGCACTGGGAAGACCCAGAGGGATGGGATGGGGAGGGAGGTGGGAGGGAGGCTCAGGATGGGGAACACATGTAAATCCATGGCTGATTCATGTCAATGTATGGCAAAAACCACTACAATATTGTAAAGTAATTAGCCCCCAACTAATAAAAAATAAATGAAAAAAAAAGTATTAAAATATCACAAAAAATGTAAACTCTTTCTTTTTTTTTCATTTATTTTTATTAGTTGGAGGCTAATTACTTTACATCATTGCAGTGGTTTTTGTCATACATTGAAATGAATTAGCCATGGATTTACATGTATTCCCCATCCCGGTCCCCCCTCCCAC